GGAGGGGTTGTGCAACTGAACCAATTTAAAAGGGTAAAAAACAGCAAAATACTTGTGTAAAAACTTACTTTTAAATATTGCTTCTAAAGCATTAGACTGTATTAATAGTATTGTAATGTATTTCATGATGTATTCCTAAAAATCCTTTTTACCCCCCACCACCACCACCACCACCAACAGTTGTGGTATTAAGCAGTGGTTCCCAAACTTTTTATCTTCTGACCCACAAAATATTCATGGCAAAAACTTGTGACCCAAATATTACTGATCTGAGTAAACTTTGTTAATAACCCTAAAAACAAAGGCTACACAAATATAAATACTCATTTACACTTATTTTGTGTTTTTTGTAATAATTATAGGGAAATTGTTACATCATCAATTATTTTGTTACTCTTTAATTTGATTTCTGAAGTGCAGTGGTTCCCAAACATTTCAGTTTTTGACCCACAAAAGCAGAGACCTGTGCCCATAACTATTTTTGGATGATAAACATTTGTATCAGGTCAGCTAAACATGCGCATAGTAACAATATATATTATTCTACATTTATACATTTTAGGCAACTAAGGCAAAAATGTAATTAATTWAGAAAATCTTTTCAGGACCCCACCTTGATGTTTCAGGACCCCACTTTGGGTCCCGACCCCAACTTTGGGAACCACCGGTATAAATGACTGAAGCTGTTTAGAAGCTGTATATGCTTTGACTGCAGCATTAAGCTGATGTGAATCAAACATAAACCTGTTATTTGTGCAAAATATCTTTCTGTGTACAGATATTTTATCATGTTGCAGCATATTATTTAGCAGAAGAATAATTTGGTATCATCACCTCTCCTTCAGCAGCAGCATGACTGCGTTCAGATTTAGCCTTTCCGCTTTCCACTGACACAAAAAAAAAAAGAATCCCATCAGAATGGTTTAATAGTCAGCAAAAGCTTTCAGTGTTACGGTCGATTATTGTGACACTGACGGTCAACCAGCAATGACACAGAGGCCAGTGGCAGCACGCGACTTTTGGGGGAGTGGAGATAAAAGATTTTTTTTTCAAATGCCAGCTAGTCTGTGGCATTTAGAATCATTTAATCCTTTTCATATAATCTGCCTAAATGGTCACAACCACACTGGCCCAGTGATGGTAATTAAGGTCAGTTAGGAACAACAATGTGAGGTCAGAATCATATCATGTCACCCAGCTTGTGTTTCCTCCTGTTTCTGTTTGATTTTATTAAAGACTGCACTAATGTAAGGATGTAATTATACATAAAAATAGTTTGAATCTGTCAAATCGTCCAAATTAAATGAACTGAGCAGATTTTTACAAGTTGACTCATAAGAAGACAGAATTTGAGCTTCATTCCTCTAAACGTCTTTAATGTGCAGAAGTCTTGCACCCTGAGTGTGAAATAATCCCACAAACTCAACATTTGTTAAATGTAATAAGAACTAATTTGGCCTGAATAGACATGTGACATTTCTTCTGTTGGGGACTAACAATTCTTTCATTTTCTCCATCTTATCACAGTCATTAATGCTGAGATCACACTGTTTGATCTCTTTAGTACATTTCGTCAGAGCTGCTCATGAAGAGCTGTGCCAATCCGTCTTCTTCCAGTAATTTCTTGACTTGGCTTCTAATTCTTCTCTTTGATGTCTTGCAGGAAACATTGGGATTGAGGTATATGTCATTTCTGAGGTTGCTCCTCCCATTCAATGGCTGAACTCTGCATTACACCTGCTGTCACTAAAGGCAGGTGATCGTACCTGGATGTGGGTGCAGGTGTGTTCATTTGTCTGTTAGCAAAATAATCAGATGAAACAGAGAACTGGTTTTAACAAGACCCCAATAATCATTAGACAAACATCTAAAACAGATTAATTTCTGGAGAAGATTCTGATTCAATATGCCCACCAGAACTTATCAACTTCAGCAAACACAAAAATTAAAGTAACTCGATTAATTAAAAAAAAATATCAATATAAAATTTGGCATAATAGTAGCTGAAAGTTATTTCTAACGTATACTTTAAGCAGTGGTGGGCATACCAGCTAACAGCTAACAGCAGAACACATTTTTCATTTATTGGATAAGTTTTTTGAAAGTGTGAGCCAATTAGCTTCTACTAAATTATGTTTTGCCAACTTTAATTCAGCTGACAGCTAACTAACAAACTATCATCTACAGGTTTGTGCCAGTCCACCAGTCTTCAGCCCAACGAAGACAAAGACATGACACAGTCTAAGTCAGAGATCCTGAACCCATGGGCCACGGCCCAATTATGGGCCGCAAGCGCCACCTAGAGGGCCTGAAAAGAACAACAGTTTTTAACTTTGGGTCGCAGAGGGCCGTGGGACCACAATGATTTTGAATAAGGTGCAATACAATTTCTCACCACTAGTAGCAGTAGTGCACCACTCAGATGTTTAACAACTTTTTTAATCTGTAGAAGAAGAAACTTAGAAACCTGCCGAGAATGCAAACCTACCTATGAACCTATAAAACCTATGAAAAATAGAAGCAAAAATGAAGGTAATTCATCAAAAAAAATGCTAAAGTTTGTTACTAATATGAAGAGCAACTTCTGGTTTTACCAAGCAATATTTTAAAAGTTCAAAACATTATCAAATACAGCTGCAGATACAGCTATATTTTAATTTGCACTTTATCAAATCAACTTTTTGTAGTTTATTTTTAAACATTTTGAATGTATTTTAAAGAAATGTTAAACTTGTCAAAAAGCTGTTACTATTATTGTTTGTCACTAATATGAAGAGCAGCTTCTGGTTCTACCATGAAATATTTTAAAAGTTCAAAACATTATCAAATACAGTTGCAGATACAACTATGTTTTAATGTGCACTTTAAATTAATTTTTGTAGTTTATTTTTAAACATTTTGAATGTACTTTAAAGCAATTTTAAACTTGTCAAAAAGCTGTTACTGTTATTGTTTGTCACTAATATGAAGAGCAGCTTCTGGTTTGCAAAAGTTTAAAAATGCTTTATGT